GTGTCGCAGACAAACGGTTGCCATGTTTGCATCACATATACGAGGTCCCGCAATGCGCCCGCGCGCCCGCATGCGCATGCGCATTGATGTCCACAGGAGCCTGCTGGTGAGGAGGCTCTGGATTCCTGCGGAACTGGGATCTCAATGCAAGACCACTATGTTCGCTTCTGCCAGAGTGAAGATTCGGACTTTCGGGATTGAAATCCCAAGTTGTGCCAGGCAGGTCAGCTGCTGGAAAGATGGACCTTCACGTCCGGCGGCTCAGGCTTTCCACTTCATGGTTTCATGGTGTAGGGTGCGCCGGGGTATCACACTGTCCCAGCGGGGCCCTGTAGGATTTCAAGTGGGGGAGGCCTGGCACGCTTTCGGGAGTGGGAGGGGGAGGGAACCCTGCCGGGTGCTTGAGCGCAACTGGTGGAGTTTTGTTATTTGGGCAAGCTGCCTTCTGAGCAATCTTCCGGCTTCACTTCTGGACGCAAACCTGAACCCCCCCCCAAAATCCGAGGTCCGCCCTTGGGCTGTTGCTATTGAGGCTAAGCCCCAAACCCTAAACTCGATGTAGTGTTCAGGGCTCAGGGATCCCATAGTGTGTCTAGACTTGAGGGTTTCAGTGTTTTGGGCGGGCTAAAGGGGGTGCAGGGCTTATCTTCGCAAAACCCTGCACCCGCTAATCCCGAATCCCGAAACCCGAATACCCGAATCCCTATAAACCCTTAGGCCCTGAACCGAAGCCCTAACCCCCCCAGGGCTGCCCTGGTATTACAGGGGGTGTACAGCTCATAGGGTTTTCAGGATTCAGGATACCTCACAAACCGAGCTTGCTTCAGGGTCGGCACAAGTCCCCCAGGAGACCATGACTTTCCTGTAAGGCCCGGTCCTGTACCTAGACCTCGCAAACCCTAGGCCACCAGGAGAGAGCTTGACACTTAGAGAGTGTAAGGTACCTCCCAGCCGCCGCGCAGCCGGATCCGACGGCCCAGCTAGATAGGCTTGGGGCAGGGTTGCAGGGTTGCCTTTCTATGCGGCGTCCTGAAGTCCGTCTCCCAGAATCACATGTTCTACGTCTAAGCTTTGTGGGATTCTTGACGGATTCGGTGGGATCTTGAATCACGGTGCCCGATGGTTATGGGGTTCTGGGAGGGGGGTCCAAGAGGGGGGGGGGGGGGGGCTCCCCGCTCCTCCCTAAGGCTCTTTAAGCTTCCCTGAGGTTCCCGAGGTACCTACCCCCCATGAACCCCCCCCCCCCAAAACAAAAAAGGAAAATTCCTAACCCTAAACCCTAAACCCTAAACCACCCATTAAAACCCCTCCCTGAAGAACCCTACAATAAGTCAGAGTGTATCTTGGTGCCGTTTGCACAGGCACAACCAGACGCTCGTCCGTCGGCTGAGCGTCGTGCTGCGGACCCTCCTCTTCTTCGTGCGCCTGCTGCCAGTTGGGATCTCGGCCGGTGCCTAAACCCTAAACCCTAGAACCCTAAAACCCTAAAACAACCCCAAACCCTAAACCGTAAACCCTAAACCGTAAACCCTAAACCCTAAACCCTAAACCCTAACCCCTAACCCCTAAACCCTAAAACCTAAAACCTATAAGCGACCCTTCTCCTTCTCAGATAGGCCAGCCGCAGCATGTGCACTCATCCTTGTAGAAGCATCTCTGAACAAGGGAGGGATGTAGAAGGGGAGGAAGTTGGGACTCGATGGCTCTTGGGTACACCGTAGACCGGTGCTAAACTCACAAGGGTTTAGGGTTTAGGGTTTAGGGTTTAGGGTTTAGGGTTTAGGGTTTAGGGTTTATAGGGACCCTGCACAGAATCTTGCCCCGCTGGGCCGTAAAGCCATGAGCCCGCAGCTTTGGAAAGTCTATGGTTCATGCCCCTGTGGAACCCTAAACCCCTAGACCTTAAACCTCCAAACCCTAAACCCCTAAATCCTGAACCAACCCCTGAACCCCTGAACCCGAAGCCCCTGTTAAACCCCTTGAACCCCTAAACCCTGAACTCCTAAACCTTTCCCTGAACCTCAAGACCCCTAAACCCGTAAACCCTTAAACCCCGAATCCCTCAACCCTGAACCCCTAAAACCCTAAAAGCCCTAGTCCCTACACCCCCTAGATCCCATACAGCCCAGGGGCTTCTCAACCCTAAACCCAAAACCCTAAACCCTTTTCTCTAATTCCCGGAAGCCCCCAGAACTGCAGGCCCATGGCCTGTGCCGCAGCGCGCGCAGCGGCGACCCTGCAGGCCGCTTTTGGGGTGGATCTTTGGGGGTGGATAGGGTTTAGGGTTTAGGGTTTAGGGTTTAGGGTTTAGGGTTTAGGGTTTAGGGTTTAGGGTTTAGGGTTTAGGGTTTAGGGTTTAGGGTTTAGGGTTTAGGGTTTAGGGTTTAGGGTTTAGGGTTTAGGGATAGCTTTAGGATTAGGATTGAGAGAATTTGGGTTGAGGGGTTTATTGATTTTTTCGGGCCCATTGTCTTTGTTTAGGGTGTCTGCGGGGTTGATCGGGCGCAGAAGGGTGTTGCCATGACACCCCAAAATCCTGAGCTCCAAACCCCCAAAACCCCCAAACCCCAAACCCCAACATCCCTAAACCCCTTAGCGCCCTCGGGGCTCAGGGTTTCGAAGGCGTGTTCAAGGCATTCCTGACCTCTCGGTTTCTCAGATCCCTCGACTCGATGGGGTTTAGGGTTAAGGGGTTTAGGGTTTAGGGTTTGGGGTTAAGGGGTTTAGGATTTAGGGGTTTACGGTTTAGGGGTCTCGGGGCTTAGGGTTTAGGGTTGAGGGTTGTAAGGGTGTAAAAGGTTTGGGGGTTCAGGGTGTAGGGGTTTAAGGGGTTTTAAGGGCTTTGGGTTCAGGGGTTTGTGGTTTAAGCCATCTTCCGGAACGCCTGGGTGGTTCAGAACTTGGAGGTCCTCTAGCAGCCGGGTGCCAAATAGTAGGGTTCCATTGTAGTGAGGACCCCCATGCTGGCTAGGCCCATACTCCCATGGAGGCTTTATTCGATGGCGTTGGCAAAAGTGTCCGGCTCGAGAGAAGTTGAGGCAAGGGCTCCGCGGTTTCTCCCAGCGGAAGGCACCTGTGGAAGCTTTTGGTGGCAACTGGCGTTGAAGGCACCATGCAGGCTGTGACATCATTCACAGGTGTCCCTGTCATGGACTGGCTTTAAAGAAGAAGCCCGCCTGCGTTGGGCGTGTGGTCAGCTTATCCCAGTTGGAGGCACCCATGGCGGCTTCGATGGCGTTCGCGAGCATCTGGCGCTGGGAGAAGCTGAACGCAAGGCACCTGTGGAAGCTTTGATGGTCATGGGAAGGCAGCCATGCAGGGTTTGGCGTCTTTCAGACGCGGGAGTGGCAATGGCGGAAGCTGGCCGCAGGCTCCCACTTGCAGGCACCCATGGCGGCGTGGCGGCTTCGACGGCTTTCACAAGCGTCTGGCGCTGGGAGCACTGAGGAAGAGGTTCCTCAGCTTCTCCCAACGCAAGGCACCTGTGGAAGCTTTGACATTGGAGGCACCCGTGGCGGCTTCGATGGCGTTCGCGTGCGTCTGGCATTGGGGGAAGGTGAGGAAGAGGTTCGTCAGCTTCTCCCAATGCAAGAAGGCGCATATGTGGAAGCGTTGACGACAAGCTGGCGCTGGTCATGGGAACGCAGCCATGCAGGCTTTGACGTCGTTCACACACATGTTCACACACTGCGGGAGTGGCAATGGCGGAAGCTGGCCGCAGGCTCCACCACTTGCAGGCACCCATGGCGGCTTCGACGGTTTTCACAAGCGTCTGGCGCTGGCAGCACTGAGGAAGAGGTTCCTCAGCTTCTCCCAACGCAAGGCACCTGTGGAAGCTTTGACATTGGAGGCACCCGTGGCGGCTTCGATGGCGTTCGCGTGCGTCTGGCATTGGGGGAAGGTGAGGAAGAGGTTCGTCAGCTTCTCCCAATGCAATATGTGGAAGCGTTGACGACAAGCTGGCGCTGGTCATGGGAACGCAGCCATGCAGGCTTTGACGTCGTTCACACACATGTTCACACACTGCGGGAGTGGCAATGGCGGAAGCTGGCCGCAGGCTCCACCACTTGCAGGCACCCATGGCGGCTTCGACGGTTTTCACAAGCGTCTGGCGCTGGGAGCAGCTGAGGAAGAGGTTTTTCAGCTTCTCCCAACGCAAGGCACCTGTGGAAGCTGTGACATTGGAGGCACCCATGGCGGCTTCGATGGCGTTCGCGTGCGTCTGGCATTGGGAGAAGGTGAGGAAGAGGTTCGTCAGCTTCTCCCAAGGCAAGGCGCATATGTGGAAGCGTTGACGACAAGCTGGCGCTGGTCATTGGAACGCAGCCATGCAGGCTTTGACGTCGTTCACACACATGTTCACACACTGCGGGAGTGGCAATGGCGGAAGCTGGCCGCAGGCTCAACCACTTGCAGGCACCCATGGCGGCTTCGACGGCTTTCACAAGCGTCTGGCGCTGGGAGCAGCTGAGGAAGAGGTTTTTCAGCTTCTCCCAACGCAAGGCACCTGTGGAAGCTTTGACATTGGAGGCACCCATGGCGGCTTCGATGGCGTTCGCGTGCGTCTGGCATTGGGAGAAGGTGAGGAAGAGGTTCGTCAGCTTCTCCCAATGCAAGGCGCATATGTGGAAGCGTTGACGGCAAGCTGGCGCTGGTCATGGGAACGCAGCCATGCAGGCTTTGACGTCGTTCACACACATGTTCACACACTGCGGGAGTGGCAATGGCGGAAGCTGGCCGCAGGCTCCACCACTTGCAGGCACCCATGGCGGCTTCGACGGTTTTCACAAGCGTCTGGCGCTGGGAGCAGCTGAGGAAGAGGTTTTTCAGCTTCTCCCAACGCAAGGCACCTGTGAAAGCTTTGACATTGGAGGCACCCATGGCGGCTTCGATGGCGTTCGCGTGCGTCTGGCATTGGGAGAAGGTGAGGAAGAGGTTCGTCAGCTTCTCCCAAGGCAAGGCGCATATGTGGAAGCGTTGACGGCAAGCTGGCGCTGGTCATGGGCGCAGCCATGCAGGCTTTGACGTCGTTCACACACATGTTCACACACTGCGGGAGTGGCAATGGCGGAAGCTGGCCGCAGGCTCAACTACTTGCAGGCACCCATGGCGGCTTCGACGGCTTTCACAAGCGTCTGGCGCTGGGAGCAGCTGAGGAAGAGGTTTTTCAGCTTCTCCCAACGCAAGGCACCTGTGGAAGCTTTGACATTGGAGGCACCCATGGCGGCTTCGATGGCGTTCGCGTGCGTCTGGCATTGGGAGAAGGTGAGGAAGAGGTTCGTCAGCTTCTCCCAAGGCAAGGCGCATATGTGGAAGCGTTGACGACAAGCTGGCGCTGGTCATTGGAACGCAGCCATGCAGGCTTGGACGTCGTTCACACACACATGTTCACACACTGCGGGAGTGGCAATGGCGGAAGCTGGCCGCAGGCTCAACCACTTGCAGGCACCCATGGCGGCTTCGACGGCTTTCACAAGCGTCTGGCGCTGGGAGCAGCTGAGGAAGAGGTTTTTCAGCTTCTCCCAACGCAAGGCACCTGTGGAAGCTTTGACATTGGAGGCACCCATGGCGGCTTCGATGGCGTTCGCGTGCGTCTGGCATTGGGAGAAGGTGAGGAAGAGGTTCGTCAGCTTCTCCCAATGCAAGGCGCATATGTGGAAGCGTTGACGGCAAGCTGGCGCTGGTCATGGGAACGCAGCCATGCAGGCTTTGACGTCGTTCACACACATGTTCACACACTGCGGGAGTGGCAATGGCGGAAGCTGGCCGCAGGCTCCACCACTTGCAGGCACCCATGGCGGCTTCGACGGTTTTCACAAGCGTCTGGCGCTGGGAGCAGCTGAGGAAGAGGTTTTTCAGCTTCTCCCAACGCAAGGCACCTGTGGAAGCTTTGACATTGGAGGCACCCATGGCGGCTTCGATGGCGTTCGCGTGCGTCTGGCATTGGGAGAAGGTGAGGAAGAGGTTCGTCAGCTTCTCCCAAGGCAAGGCGCATATGTGGAAGCGTTGACGGCAAGCTGGCGCTGGTCATGGGAACGCAGCCATGCAGGCTTTGACGTCGTTCACACACATGTTCACACACTGCGGGAGTGGCAATGGCGGAAGCTGGCCGCAGGCTCAACCACTTGCAGGCACTCATGGCGGCTTCGACGGCTTTCTCAAGCAGAGTTTCTCCCAACGCAAGCAAGGCACCTGTGGAAGCTTTGACAGCGTTCGCATGGACCCACCACGGATTGGGAGTGGGACTGCTTCTCCCGTTGGAAGGCTGATCCCATCTTGTAAGCTTCCACACGTCCCAAAGCCAGCCAAAAGGCGGAAAGATGTTGAGGAGGCCGTGGTGAGCTCAGGTGCAGGATGGCGCAAATTTGGTTCCTGGTGATATCTCTGGCATCTTGCAAAATGCGAAAGACTCTCAGGTACCCGCGATTCCCATCCCAAACGCTGCACCACGAAGCACCCTCGAATCCAAAAGCACTACCTGCAACCCTCTAGCACCCTGAAACCCCAAAGCCCGGAATATCCCGGAATCTTTGAACCCTTTAACTCCCTTAACCGGTCATGTCCACAAAACATGGCAAAGTTAAACCTTGATGAAGGGCAGGCAAAATTCAGCGGGGTTTCTCTAATCCATGGTCCCTTTTGTGGTTCCGATTGCAAGACGGAGCCTTATGTTAGTCGATATTGCAAAGTGACCATGATAACCGTTAGGCTGCCCACCGTATTTATGAGGGTCTCCAATGAGCGACCATAATTCAGAGAAACCCACATATTCATATATATATATATATGCATATATATATATATATATATATATATATATTCATATATATATATATATTCATATATATATATATATATATATATATTCATGATTTCATGAAGGATTTGCACCAAGAGTCTCGCTCAACCAGGCCAGGTGCCTCCTGCCAGGCCCGGGGGCCTTTTTTTGAATTCTCCTGTTTTTTTCTTGTTGGCTTTGTGGGAGTTTTGGGTCAAGGGACTGAAGGAGGGACCCTTGTCAGGGCCCTAAGGGGTTATTTAGGGGCTAGCTAGGTTTTTCGGGGCTGTAGAAGGTACATACCGGTGGCGTTGTTGAGCTCTCTGCCTCCTCCTTTCCGGTTCTCCGGAGCCTTTCTGGGCTCTCCGGAGCATTTAGGGTGGCCTCCCAAGTTCTCAACTTGGCATGGCAGGGTTTAGGGTTTAGGGTTTAGGGTTTAGGGTTTCGGGTTTAGGGTTTAGGGCGCCTTGGTCACCCTTGGTACGACGAAAGCGCAGGGCAAGCAAAACTCGGTAGGGTTTAGACTGTTTAGGGTTTGGGGTTTAGTAGGGTTTCAGGAAATTTTAAAGCTTTAGGGTTTTGAACCTTTCAAGTTGTGTTGCTGAAGAACCCCCCAAAAAAAGAAAACATATTCTTCCTCACAAGGGCAATACAGGGATCGTTCTCTTTTGCTTTCGGGGGTTCTTAAGCAAATAGTAGCTAGGACCGGGAGTAGGCCTTTTTTTCCTTTTTTTTAGGGTTGGGGTTCCCTGATAATCCCCTTAAAGCCAAAAAGGGTACCCTTTTTATTCCTAAGTTACTCCCGGGTCTAGGTAGTCAGCTGTTTCGAGAACCGCTTGTCTGTTCATCGATGGTGCTCGACACTAAACGATTGCCGTTTCAGGACACCCTCAACCCTAAACCCGAAACCCTAAACCCCAAACCCTAAACCGCAGAGGGGGGGGGAAGTTGGGAAAGAGGGAGACTAGATCCGGTCTGCCTTCTGAGGTTAATTTGAAGGCCTTCCCTCAACAGAGCAGGATCGAGGTAACCTCACCTTGGGGCGGGCACTTTCATGCCTAACTGGCCTAACTTTCTGTTAAACATAAGCCGACATGGTAACTAAGCAGAATCTGCGGGGGAATCTGCGGGGGAATGCCAAGCTCAACAATCGTAGCTGTTCTTAAGCCAGATGACTCTCCGGTCTTTGAAAGACTTTGAGAGAAATTTCGCAGAGCGGCTCAGGAAACGGCCCCTGGCGCCTCGCCTGTCGACATGCTTCGTGTATCCGTGGCTCTGCCGAGTGGAAAGGAGGTCGCCCTCGAAGTGCCGGAATCCTCCAAGGTTGGAGAGTTGAAGGTTCTGGCCCAGAACTCCTTGGGAAGTTTCCTGAGACTTGTGACAGGAGACGGGCGTGTCTTGAGAGATCCCGAGGACTCCCTGGAAGCTGCGGGACTTCGAGAAGGAGACCATCTTGTGGCCATCGCGCAGCAACCGACACTCACAGCGGGAAGAGACGCCTTTGCCCTTTGGTGTCACGGAGGCGACAGGATCGTCACCTGGGGAAACCCAAGCGTCTGTGGCGACCGCTTCGCGATCAAGGGCCAGCTTGCAGGTGTCCAGCAGGTTCACGCCAAATCGCAAGCGTTCGCAGCGATCTTGGGGGATGGATCGGTTGCTACCTGGGGAAAAGAAGATGCGGGTGGTGACAGCTCTAAAGTTCGCGATCGGCTCAGGGGTGTGCAGCAACTGCAGGCGACCTTCACGGCCTTCGCTGCCATCCTGCAGGATGGGTCGGTGGTGACTTGGGGCGATCCAGCCGGTGGCGGAAACAGCTCTGCGGTCCAAGGCCAGCTCCGAAACGTGCGCCAGCTGCAGGGGACCAACTCGGCTTTTGCCGCCGTCCTGGAGGATGGGTCTGTTGTGACCTGGGGCAGAACCCATGGTGGGGACAGCTCGGCAGTCCAAGCTCAGCTGAAGAATGTGCGCGAACTTCGCTCCACGGGCTTCGCCTTTGCAGCGGTTCTGGCGGATGGATCGGTAGTTACATGGGGTGAGGCGGGTGATGGAGGTGACAGCTCCAGCGTACCTGGGCTGAGGAATGTACGGCAGGTCCGGGCCACAAACCATGCATTTGCTGCTATCCTGGAAGACAGATCGGTTGTTGTATGGGGCGGCCGAGACTATGGTGGCAGTTTTGGTGACATCTCTGTCCAAGATCGTCTCAGAAGTGTGCAGGAAATTCAAGGCACAGTTGGGGCCTTTGCCGCGATTCTGGAAGACAAATCCGTTGTGACATGGGGTAATCCAAACCTCGGGGGTGACAGCTCCACAGTGCAAGATCAATTGCAAAACGTGCGCCAGATCAGAGGAACAGCTTCGGCCTTTGCCGCACTCTTGGAGAATGGGTCGGTGGTGACTTGGGGCAACCCTGTTGATGGTGGCGACAGCTCCAGCGTCCGAGACCGACTCAGGAACGTGCAGAAGATCGAGGCAACCTCTGCAGCTTTTGCCGCGATCCTGGAGGATGGCTCACTTGTGACATGGGGCAAGCCTCGTATGGGGGGTGACAGCTCGGGAGTCCAAGAGCACCTGCACTTCCTTTAGGAGAGCAACGACAACTCCTCTCGTTGCCCTGCAGCAGGGTGCCGCGTTGTCGCCGCTGCTGCCCAAGTTTGCTTCTTTTTCTTGGGGGCGGCCTTTCGGGCCGGGCCGGTTCGGGTCCCAGAGGTGGTTTTGGCAGCTGCCGCTTTTCTGGCGTCACGGTAGAGCTGCCGTCTCTCACTGCGCACTTCAAGTGTCACTGTACTAGTGCTTGGACCTGACGTGGAAACGACACTCAACAACGAACTGTGGGAGGAATACCTTTTCTACTCCATAGTACGGGTCCACGTTTGAAAGAGCAACTTACCCTCGGATGAAAGGCAAACCCTAAACCCTAAACCCCCGACTCAAAGCCCCTAGAGCCTTGAGTGTGAGAGCACCACTGCTCTGCGCAGGTATCATCGCTTCCGTGTTGAGGCACAGCTCTCGCCTGCACTGAGCCGTGCGGTGGCGTATAGGGTTTAGGGTTTCAGCCCTGAACCCTAAACCCCAAACCCTAAACCCTGAACCCTCATCACTAATCAACACTAAACCCTGAACCCCCGACACTGAACCCTAAACCCTATAATCCCTAAACCCTAAACCCTATAAACCCTAAACCCGAAACTGCAGGCCTGGCCACCAGCCTCCCGAACACCGGCGTTGCAGGAGCTGGTGTCGCAGGCGGACGCACGGGAGAAGCCAGCGGTTTGAAGACTGTGGGGTAGGTAGCGCTTTCAGGGTTTGTTGGGGGGGGGGGGGGGGGGGGGGGGGGGTTGTTTTAAACCCGAAACCCTAAACCCTAAACCCCCAAAACTTCGAATTTGCAATTTGGTATGAGGCCACTTAGAGAGTATGGGTTTTTCTTTATGGAATCCGTGTGTTGGGCGTGTCGGCGTACTAGACAATCCCTTGAAAAAGATGGATTTTTTATGCTTATGTCTTTCCAAAACATTGGCCCGTATGCCGACGCACCCTCTATATAAAGGGTTATATAAGGCATATAAAAGGGATATATGAGGGTTGTAAGGGATTCATAAGTTATATAAGGGTTGTATGGGCAAAGTGTGAGGAGTTGGCTTGAGAGCTTCTGTCATGAACGTCTCTTGAGTCCGTGCCTCCCTAAACCCTAAACCCTACACCCTAAACCCTAGACCCGAAACCCTAAACCCTAAACGCAGGACTTTGTGACCCTTCCGTCAACAGCTGGTTCCCTGCGACTCAGCGTGGCGCAGCGAAAGGACCCTGGGCATCAAGGATCTCAGGGTTGCAGATTGAGCCCGAAACCCTAAACCCTAAACCCCAAATTCAAAACCCTAGGCCTTGAACCGCAAAGGCTACAGCCTGAAGCTCTCAACAAGAACCCCTATAGTCGTGGGTCCCCTACTTCCCGTAGTTTGGGGTTTATGTTTTTTTGGGTTTAGGGTTTTAGGGTGTTTGGGTTTTAGGGTTTATGGTAACTCTATCAGTCCCTGTAAACCCTGTAAACCCTGTAAACCTTGTAAAGCCCTATGAAACCGGAAAGCGCGAGAAGCCCCTGCAAAATATCTACGATAGTAGGTCTTTGAGAAGTGGCACCCAAGTTGGAGTATTGAATATTTCGAAGTGGTGGGGGCCGCCTTTGAGCTACAGGGTCTAGGAACGGGAAAGAGCGGCCCCAAAAACTAAACGGGGTAGGGGGTGGTTTTCCGGGCAGGGGATTGCGCGCTTCGAGAGTGTTGTTCTGAGAGCAGGGAGGCCTTCCAGGTTCAGGGTTTCGGGGCAGAGAAGCCCTAAACCCTAAACCCTAAACCCTAAAACCTACGCCCTAACGTGAACAGGACCTGAAGTGCTTGAGCAGCGCCGGGCCCATGAAGGGCGCGGGGGGCCTGGGATGCTTCTTTTCAGGTTTTGGGGTTTATAAGGTTTACGGGCTTCTGATGGGGGGATTTGGGGGTATTTTTGGGGGGGTTTGAGGGGTTAGGGTGGGTAGAAGGGGCTTGAGGCAGATTGGAAGGTTTTGAGATTTTTGTGGTTTAGGGTTTAGGGTTTAGGGTTGCTTTGGATTTTAGGACTTAGGGCTTGGGGGCTTCGATCTGAGCCCGCGGCTACAGCAGCACGCAGCGGGCACACCTCCTTGGCGGCCCTCCACCCCAAACCAAGCCCTGGTTTAGGGTTTAGGGTTTAGGGTTTAGGGTTTAGGGTTTAGGGTTTAGGGTTTAGGGTTTAGGGTTTAGGGTTTAGGCTTTTGCTGGTTCTCTGAGGTTGCTGCCATCTCGTCCCAGATGGACACAATTGACATGGAGGAAGGCCCCGGACTGCTCTCTCCTACAAAAGCCGCTGTGTAACGCAGCCGCCTCCAGCCCTTCCTTCGATAAAGGCTTGCCTGGATGTTTTTTAAGCCTTTCGCAGGCTTCTTTGCTCCAGCAGCCTCCACAGCCGGAACTGGTCGCCCTCCGAGCACACGCCTGGAGTTCTTCCCTGGAGTTCGGAACTTCAAAACTTCGGTGGGAGCCTGTTGCGACAAGCCACCTGAAGCAAAGCCTCAACCCTAAAACCCTCAATCCCTCAACAGGGCCCACGCCCAGCCCATGCCATACACCTGCAACTATTGGAGCCTTGGGGTATACCAATCCTTCATAACTTTTTCTCTGAAACATCTACCCTTTGAAGCATTCTAAGTACTATCCATTCTAAGTGCACACACACACAATGTGACGCATCCACAGACCCCTCCAAAGGCGTCGGCAGCGAAACCGCCCGGAGCAAGCTGGATAAGATTGCCGAGGAGCCAGATGTTCTTGGACCGCAAGGGCCGACTAGGTCTTCTACATGCGTTTCGGGTCGGGTTTAGGGTTGGGGGTTTAGGGTTTAGGGAGTATAGGGTTTAGGGTTTAGGGCTTAGGGTTTAGGGTTTAGGGTTTAGGGTTTTTGGCGTAGTCATGCGTGTGATTCTACTCCAAGGGTTCCCATATCAGATCATATCTTGGGGGACCCAAAGGGCAGTTACCAAGTAAACTGCGGGGCCTTTTCGCCGGGCCACACAAGCCCCCCAAAACTCTAAACCCTAAATCCTAAACCCTAAACCCTGAACCCTAACTGCCACTGAAGAGCAATCAGAGAAGAAGAAACCCAAACCCTGAACCCTAAGCCCCCTATAAGGTGAGACACGGCAGCGACAGTGCGAAGATGCCATCAGGCCTGGCGCCTGAGCTTTCGACTCCGCGAGCCGGGTTGGACAGGGTTCCAAGCTCACAAACCCTGAGCTTCCAAACCCCTACAGGCCCTAAACCCTAAACCCTCAACCCTAAACCCTAAACCCTCAACCCTCAACCCTAAACCCTCATCGTCCCTTCTTGTGAATATTAGGCTCGGCTGGGCAAGAGGAGCTCATGGGTTCCAGGGCTCCTTCTCTCCTTTCCAGGATGGTCCCCCACCCGAAGTCGTCTGCCCCTTTTATGGTTTTAGGGTTTAGGGTTTAGGGTTTGGGGTTTTAGGGTTTTAGGGTTTTATAGGGTTTAGGGTTGAGGGTTTAGGGTTCAGGGTGGTTTGGAGGCTTTAGGGGCTGCATTGCAAAGCTTAGCGTGGAAGCTGAGACGGCGGAGCTTTTCCAGTACCAAATGCTTTTCTTGATTGGGAGGGTCGCTGACACCCCTTCCCCCTGTCCCCAGAAAGTCATGCTGTGAGCTTGGATGCGCAAACCCTCAACTTAAACCCGCAGCCTGTGCCTTCTCCGAGAGGCCTGGCGAGTGGACTTGCCGAAGGGGCACAGTCCCAGCTGGGAGCTAAGGGGGCCTTGGAAGGTTTGGGGTCCAGGGCCTGAGATGTCCAGTCCCCTCCCCCTAATCGGGTTTAGGGTTTAGGGTTTAGGGTTTAGGGTTTAGGGTTTAGGGTTTAGGGTTTAGGGTTTAGGGTTTAGGGTTTAGGGTTTAGGGTTTAGGGTTTATTTAGGGTTTAGGGTTTAGGGTTTAGGGCTTGGGGAGATTAAACCACCCCTACACCCCAATATGAAATACTCCCCCATCATGGTTGGGGGGGTAGGGGTGTTTAATATTTGGCGAGGGGAAACCATACTCTTCGCCCCTGAACTCCCAGAATTTCCGAACACTAAACCCTAAACCTTAACCCTAAACACTAAACCCTAAACCCTAAACCCCAAACCCTAAACCCCAAACCCTAAACCCTACTCCCAAAACCCTAAGCCTCTGAAATTCCCTGAGCTCCCCACGAGTCATGGCAAGGTCCACGGCCGCTCCATTTGAGCCAAGCGCTTCGCCCTTGGCGTTTGCTGCCACACAGGGTTTAGGCTTTAGGGTTTAGGGTTTAGGGTTCAGGGTTTAGGGTTTAGGGTTTATAGAAATTGTATAGGGTTCAGGTCCGGAGTTTTGAGCGAAAGTTTTGACCGAAAGTTTTGGCCGAAAGTTTCTTTTTTTGCTTTGGGTGAGGTTTTTATGGAAAGTTTTGACCGAAAGTGTCTTTTTTGGCTTTGGGTGAGGTTTTTTATGCTTTGGAGCTTGGGCTGGGGGGCTGAGGCTGGGTCTAGGCTGGGGATGGGGCCGGGGCTGGGGCTAGGGGCTGAGGGCTGGGCTGGGGCTGGGGCTGGGGGGCCAGGCGGCTGCTGGCGGCGAGGGCTGGTGCGCTTTTTGGATTGGGATATTCAGAATGATATAACCGCTTTGGATGCATTTACTTAAGCTCTGCTTGTCAGCTGTTTAGACAAATAACTTGGAACCTAGAGGTTTGGGATATTCAGAATGATACAACCGCTTTGGATGAATTTAATTAAGCTCTGCTTGTCAGCTGTTTAGACAAATAAGTTGGAACCTAGAGGTTTAAGTGAATTGAATATTTGGCCTTCCGCAGGCGCTTTGAATTCATTTAGACAAACAAATAACGTGGGATATTCACGACGACACCACATACAATTCCTATTTACCCTGGTCTTGAGGGTTTGGGGTTTAGGGTTTAGGGTTTAGGGAGCACCCAAGTACCGGGAAGTTCCCCCCGCTCCCCCCCCCCCACCGCCGCCGCCCCAAGCCCTTCAGGGTTTAGGGGTTAGGGTTCAGGGTTTAGGCTTCAGGGTTCAGGGTTCAGGGTTTAGGGTTTATGGTTTAGGGTTGAGGCTCCACCCCACCTCGCTTTGCATTCTGGCTGCTTGGCGGCCTGATGGATGTCGTGTTGTGACTGGAGGAGGTGTAGTAATACCAAGGCTCTCGGCGTTTAGGGTTCAGGTCGCCCGCAGCAGCCCACTCACGATATGCAGAGCGTCTTCAAGCTGCCGACGCCTGTTTTGGCTTTCAGACCTAGTCGCCGGCACGCTTGGTGCTGGTAGACCCGTAGGATCCTAGGCAAGCAGCGAACTTTTGAGGCTTCGGCTCGCCATGAAAATCTACACCATGCCTATCTCCCAGCCCGCGCGGGCTCTGTCCTGGGCCTGTGCCTGCGAAGGCGCGGGTTTCCTGTGTGTTTGCTGGGACTCTTCGCGCAAAGTGGAGAGAAGAATCACTAGTCACTAGGACCTAATATAGGGGTCGGAATACTTGCTAATGGTATTCCGGTATGGTCCCTAGATACCTATACGATCATACCCCCCTGCCCCAAGCCTTATTCTCATTTCCCATTATTCAGGGCCCATATTAGGAACCCTGCTCGGTACGTCCATCGGAAGCCAGTCTCAGTCTCTAGTAACATTCCTTGGCCTGCCCTTCGGAATGGGAGCTTACGATATGAGGGGTACCTTACTGGGTCCTTATTGTAAGGAGATCCTACTAATTGGGGGTCCTATGTTGGGGGGTCCCCTATTTTCGTAAACCCGAGTTGCCCTGAGGCACCCCGGTGGAGGAGGTCCAGATCATGCCTGGCAAGGACACGAGAAGCGAGGACTACAAGAAGCAGGGGGCTATTTTTGCAGTTCCCCGCTTGGAGGACACCGGGAATGTAGAACTCGGGCCATGTCGCATCTCGTCCAAGTAAGAGGAGCAATAGCAACACTGTCTGTCACTGTCTAGGGTTTAATTTAGGGTTCAGGGTTAGGCTTTAGGTTTAGGGAGGGTTTAGGGTTTAGGGTTTAGGGCCCTTATTATGGTTATTGTGGCCTCCTCTGCACCATCATACCTTTCTGACTTTTTTCTGCAAAGCATCTACTGTAGGAATCTTTGGCCCGTAGACATTTAATTAGACCCTCCGCACAAGACCCCAAATCCCTCAAGCCCAATCTCCGATAACCCTTGGGGACTACATGAATGCTTAAAAGGGTTTCGGGTTCAGTGTCCAGGGTTTTGGGTTTAGGGTTTTGGGTTTAGGGTTTAGGGTTTAGGGTTTAGGGTTTAGGGTTCAGGGCATCGCATGCGACTCAGAGTGACACAGGAGGACGGCTTCATCCTCAACGAAAGCCACGCGATCATGGCGCAACTGGACCGAAAGACAGCAAGGAACTCTCAGGACTCAGGAACCCCTAAGCAAAAAGCCCCTTTCAAGGTTTAGGGTTTAGGGCTTAGGGTTTAGGGTTTAGGGTTTAGGGTTTAGGGTTTAAGGGTTTAAGGGTTTGGGGTTTAGGGTTTAGGGTTTAGGGGTTGGGGTTTAGACTTAAAACACAAACACAAAAACCTAAAGGAACCTGTAAAGGAACCCCTAAGAAAACCTCTTTAAGGAACCCTTAAGGAACCCTTAAGGAACCCTTAAGGAACCCTTAAGGAACCCCTAACCGACGCTGTTTCGAGGTACCTCGGCGACCGATTTAACTGGAAGCTCTATCCCAAAGAGCCTCGCACGCGTGCACGATCCTTGTCTTTGTTAAAACCGGCTTCGCTGCGAGAGTCTGCCCTGAACACACTCCTTTTTGGAACACGATGGGCTGCCAGAGGCAGAAAAGGGGCAGAAGAGGCTTTTTACGATGTCTGGTGCCGGAAACTCTGAACCCTAAGCCGCCTGTCCAAGAAAGGAGTCCACCAGTACATGAACTGGCACCACCAGAACACGCGCCGCATTACCATCGCCCTCTTCGCACCGGTGATGAGACCGGATATGCAGATACTTGCGTCGCCATGAGCAAAACTGTGATCTTGTTGAAAACGCTTAGCCCGAATCCCCAAACCTAAACCCCTAAACCCTATACCCCTACACCCCTAAACCCCCGAAAGCCCAACTTCCTCGGACTCCTAGAGGGCAAGGCGGGCAAAGCCCCAACCCTAAACCCTTAACCCTTAACCCTAAACCTAAACCCTAGACCCTAGACCCTTAACCCCAAACCGTAAACCCTTAGCCCTAAACCCAAACCCTAAACCCCATCGGAGTGAGGATACCGCAGCCTACGATTGATATGTGGATGAAGGCCTGGGCGACTCTGTCTCCACAGCTTGGTGTGCTTTAAAGGCGCAAGTGATCTGTTTAGGGTGTAGGGTTCAGGGTTTAGGGTTTAGGGTTTAGACTTAGCTGCTTCGGTACGCGCGTGCCGGCGTCCCTTACGCGCGTCCTAGAAACTTGCGTCTTCAGCACGCACGTCCTGAAATCAAGAGCAACTCTGCGCAGAAAGGGACTGTCCCCATGCGTTTTCAGGCCCTGTAATTAAGAACGCACACCCGAAACCCTGCACCCTGAACCCGAAGGCTCCGTGCATTTTCCAGGCCTCTTAAAATGCACAGAGCTTTTGCAGACAGTGCAGAGCCTTCCGGATGGGCCTCATGAGGTTTTTTTTGGGTTCCTGGGGGGCGAAAAAGCCTCGGTTTTTCACACGGTCCTCTGCGGCCCCAAGCCCGAAACCTCCCGTGCATTTTCCAGGCCACCCAAAACGCACAGAGCCTGCTGGGACAGCACAGAGTGCGGTCTTTTAGGAGTTCTGGGGGGGAATCATTTGGAAAAAGCGCACACAGTCCTTGCGGCCCTCAACCCAAAACCCTGAACCGAAAGCTCCCGTGCATTTTCCAGGCCCCCCAAAACGCACAGAGCCTTCTTGGACAGTACAGAGCCTTCTGGAAGGTGTCCTCATGAGGTTCCTCAGGGGGCTTCTGGGGGAATCACGTAGTGCAAAAACATGCAAAAACCTCGGAACATGCACTCAGTCCTTGCGGCCTCAACCCGAAACCCTGAACCCGAAAGCTCCCGTGCATTTTCCAGGCCCCCCAAAATGCACAGAGCCTTCTTGGACAGTGCAGAGCCTTCTGCAAGGTGACCTCATGACTCGTGAGGTTCCTTCGGGGGTTTGGGGCCTAGGCAGGAATCACTCAGTGCAAAAAACTCGGAAAATGCACTCGCGAAATGCACAGAGCCTTTTTGGACAGTGCAGAGCTGGAAGGGGTCCTCATCATGAGGTTCCCTAGAAAGTTCTTGGGGGGCTAGGCAGGAGCCACTCTGTGCAAACATCTCGAGGCCCAAAGCCCGAAACCCTGAACCCGGAAACCGAAAGCTCCCGTGCATTTTCCAGGCCTCCCGAAACGCACAGAGCCTTTTTGGACAGAGCTAAGGGTCATTGGAGGAAACTCAAAACACAAGTACCCGTGCGTTTTCCCACCCCCTGGAAACGCACGCGAGCGCCGCATCGCTTTCTATAGACCTGGAGCATGCTGCGTGCTGAGGGGGGTCAGCGGCCACGTTCCGGACCGCGTCCCGAGACGCGCGTCCCGCGTCTCGTGCCGAACGGTTGCTAAGGGTTTAGAGTTTAGGATTTAGGGTTTAGGGTTTAGGGCGGCAGGAGATCAAGATCACGCTGCAAACCATTGAGCGCTGGCTGTCGGAGAGCACATGGCTCTGCGGTTCAGACGCGGGGCCGCATGCAGACCTGACCTGTACAACGAGGGCAAGTCTTAGGGTTCAGGGCTTAATTAGGGTTTAGAGTTTGAGGTTTAGGGTTAGGGTTTAAGGCGTCTTCATGATAGGATTCAGGGCCCCGAGGTTCATCATAAGCACAAGGGCTAGAGGATGTAGCAGCATGGTGGTGCGAAGCCCTCGATGTTCGCATTCTGATCACTTCGGTGATGGTGCGGGGTTCCAACCATTTCTCGTTGCGGCTGATGCTTACTTGCACAATGGGTTCAGTCGGTGTGAAAATTGAAGGTGGACTATGAGGAAACAACATTATAGCAATACACAAATATTTTAGCTCACTGATGACATTCTCATATAGTCATAGTATGTGCAAGAGAGAGAGGTCCGTTAGCTCTGCCGCTTGCGTCTCCTGCTGCAACCTGTTTATGGTAACATTCATCCTAAACCTTAAACCCTAAACCCTTGTCAAAACGCTAAACCCTGAACCCTCAACCAAAAACCCTAAACCCTAAACCCTAAGCCCTAAGCCCTAAGCCTAAACCCTAAACCCTAAACCCAAGAGAGTTTAGGGCTTAGTGGGTTTTTAAACAGCAGCTCTTGGAGCTCTGTTGCAGACCGCTGTAGGAGCCGACTGTGGCAGATTTGTCCTGTGACGCGGTTGCATTCTTCTTTAGGCCTAAACCCTAAACCCTAAACCCTAAACCCCAAACCCTAAACCCTAAACCCTAAACCCTAAACCCTTAGGGTTTGGGGTTTAGGTCTTAGGGCTTACTATCCCTAAGTTAATCATGGGGGGGAACCTAGGGGGTAGTTTGGGGGTGGGGCAGGGGGGGGGGGGGGGGTAGTAGGCGAACCCATGATCTTCCTCTAAGCTGACCATAAGAGGGTTATCATGCAGTTGCTCGTATAGTTTGTTTGCTTTGAGGCACCAGACAAGGTTTCGACGTTTTCCGGTGCACGTGCCATGTTTTGACGAGGTGCTCGAGGGTGCATTCATTGACTCGCCTGAACCCTAAATGCCCTAAGCCCGAAACCCTCAAGACCAGAGCCCTTGTCTGTAGAAAGCAGCTGGGCAAGCGCATTTCTGTTCCTTGGTGCCAAGTTTAAGGTACCCAAACCCTAAACCCTGAACCCTGAACCCCAAAACCCTAAACCGGTCAGGTTTCAGGGATGGGGGGCTGATGGCTTGGAGCCCAGGCTATTGCGAGGTGGGCCAGTGCTTGGACAAGTACACGGGACTCTTCGCCGTGAATGACATAGACCTCTCAGCGTATCCGAAGATCCAGCAGTGGCAGCCCGGATGCCAATACCATATGTGAGGTGGTTTAGGGCTTCGTGTTTAGGGTTGAGGGTTTAGGGTTTAGGAAATTAGGGGTACCTACCTTCTTGGGTTCCTTATTGCAGGGGAGTCCTACTATTTGGGGGCCTATAATTGAGGCCCCTTGTTTTCGTAAACCCCCATGTACCGACACCACTTTTAGGGGGTTGGGGTTTAGGGAAACACCTCTCCAAGTCAAGTACTGCGAGTTCTGCCTTGACTACAGGGCCCCGTGTTGAAGATGCACGGTCCCTTACAGGCCTCGCATCTTTCTTTAGTGGTTTGGTCGTTCCTAGTCGTTGCTACATGAGTTTCCAACAGTATCTTTGTTCTACACCTCGGTATGGAATCAGAAGAACCGCAAGGAACGGACCCCCCCTCCCGCCCCTCCCCCCTCCCCCCCCAAAGCTCAAGGTTGATCGGCTGTAGGCTTTTAGGGTTTTTGGTGCGTAAACTGGTTTAGGGTTGAGGGTGTGGCAGTATAGGCTTCAGGAGTCAGAAGCAGACACCCACTTCACGGAGTTGATGTCAAGCGGGCTCTTGAAGTCCGAACCCCTGAGTTCTCATCAAGAACCCCCAAACCCCCATCACACCCTACACAACAAGCCCTCAAAACCTCAAAACCTCTGAAAACCCTAAAGCCCCAAAACCCATAAGAACCTGAGAGCCCCTCAGAAAAGCCCCTATACCGCAATCAAAACCCTCTACACCCGGCACGTCTCCGCGACCCCAAGGCTGGTAGCTTGCGAGGGATTGCCCGGCTACGAGAAGAGCCACACAGCGCTGAAGCAGACTCTTTGACGTCAAGCTGGCGGTAACCTCTTCGACCCCAAGTTTGGGGTTTGGGGTTCTGGTTTTGGGTAGGAGTCGTCATCCCTCAACACGTATGAAGGATGTTATGTATCAAGTTGCGGGGGGGCCGAAGTGGGTGGCACCCTCTAAACCATAACCCTGAAGCCCCAATGGGTATGCAGGGTATGAGGGTTAGGGTTTAGGTTTTAGTACCCCATCCTCCTCGCGACAGATTCATCGGGTTGGACCTCAGCTTGGTTTACAGTTGAGGGCACATTGTTGCAGAGTGCTTTGGGGAGAGGCCCAAAAGCCCAAAATCCCAAACCCTTACTACATGAGAAGGGGCCCAACCCCCTTAAACTCCAGGGTTTAGGGTTTAGGGTTTAGGGTTGAGGGTTTTAAACCCTCAACCCTAAACCCTGAACCCTCAACCCAAAACCCTCAACCCAAAACCCTAAACCCTAAGCCCAAAACCCTGAACCAAGACCACGACCAAACTCAAAACAAGGCTTGGCCCCACCATCCGGCGCAAGGCTCCTCGCCAGGATGCTGGATCCAATTGAAATCTGAGCTCTGCGTTTAGGGTTTAAGGTTTAGGGTTAATGGTTTAGGGTTTTAGGGTTGATACCTGCATAAACCTTGAATATGTACTATGCAACCACATTCTGGTAACTTATCGTAGGCTCCTTAACGGCAACCACACCTAAACACTGCACACCTGCAGCCCAAACCCTACCTAAACCCTGCACGCTAAGCCCCTGAACTCCACCCCTAAACCCCTAAACCCTAAGCACCTAAACCCCTAAGCCCCTAAACCCTAGACTCTAAACCCGGAAAGCCTGAACCCTAAACCCTAAACCCTAAACCCCAAACCCTAAACCCTAAACCCTAAACCCTAAACCCTAAACCCTAAACCCTAAACCCTAAACCCTAACCCCCCCCATGTGGAGAGGCCGAAAAGCTGAAGTCCAAGCTGTGAGTCGCCAGACATCACCGGAGCACAGCGGCCAGCAACAGAAAAAAGAAGTCGCGGCCGGGCCCAGGGATGGGTTTAGGGTTTGGGGTTTAGGGTTTAGGGTTTCGGGCTTCGGGCTTTGGATTTTTTAGGTTTAGGGTTTAGGGTTTATGATTTTGGCAAAAAGGCCGTTAGCTGAGGTTTAGGATGCTTCCCTAACCCAGACCTCAAGGCTAGTTTTGACAACCTTGCGTTCACGAATCGGATTCTTCTGAACCCTAAACCTTACACCCTGTGTTTTCATGTCCGAAGATGCCAGTAGTACCCTTAGGGGTAGGGATCCTAGACCCCCAAACCCTAAACCCTAAACCCCAAACCCTAAACCTTAAACCCTAAACCCTAAACCCCAAACCCCAAACCCTAAAATCCCCTCCCCTATCAAAAGTTCAGGCGCGGGTGCCAGGGCCCGAACGCCTCGAGAGCCCCGCGCACAGCGCGCCATTGCCTGAGAAAGTTGTGCATTTTTTGGGCTTTTGGGGGTTTAGGTTTTAGGGTTTTAGAGTTTAGAGTGCATTTGGAGGGCTTTCGTTGCTGTTGTTGTGTAGTTTAGGGGGTTTAGGGGTTTAAGTCAGATGTTTTTGGCGGGCTGGAGTTTTGATTATCAGGAGCTTGGGGGGGCTAGGGAAGGGACGGTGCCGACAACAGGGAATCGCTGCTGCCTCCACCCAGAAACCCTTGCTGTCAACTCTTTTTTTTTTGGGGGGGGGGGGGGGGGGGGGGAGGGGGGGGGGGGGTTCGGGTTCAGGGTGGGTGTCGGGGTTTAGGCTCAGGTGAGCAGTAGTCTTTGGGGACATTTCGAGAGGGAGGGAGGGAGGGAGGGGGGAGGGAGAACCCAGCATGCCAACGAGCAGAAGTACTCCCCACAGCCGAAGCCCTAATCGGCGGGATGGGGCGGTTCCTTGCTTTTCGAATGAAAACTTGCTGGCCCGCCCTGGCCTCTTTGGCCCTTTCCCTTTACATATTTTGTGGTTCTGGGTCAGGATTCCCTTACAAAGAAACCAACCAACAAAAGGGTACCCTGATTATAAACTGGTTACTGAGCTACCAAGAAGGTTTGAGAGATATCACTTCGTCAGGGCGGCGGCGGCGTGTTTTGCAGCAGTCGCGAGTGGTCACAGAGCCTAATTAAGCCCTAACCCAAGTGATCCAGAAGCCCAAAAACTTAAAATCCTATAAGCCCTAAACCCTAGCCCTAAACCTTAATCCCTAAGCCCTAAACCCTAAACCCTAAACCCTTCCGGAAATCTCTTCCAGGTCCACCTCCTCCCGAGCCGCGTCGACCAGCGTGCCGGCCGGGCCCTCATTTACAACCATGCAGCTTTAGGCTTGGGATTTTTAAGGGGTTTAGGGTTTAGGGTTTGGGGTTTAGGGTTTAGGGTTTGTAGGTGGGATATTCCCCCTTATACTAACAGTCCTTAATAGGGACTATAAGAGGGGGTACTATACTCCCTGCTAAGGACTGTTAGTATAAGGGGGAACACCCCAACTTTGTGCCCTCAAGCTCGCGACCGGGTTTAGGGTTTGTAGGATTAGTAGGGTTCTAAGTCTTAAGGCTTTATAGTTTGTTCGGGTTCAGGGTTTAGGCTTTAGGGTTTGGGGTTTGGGGTTTGGTGTTTAGGAATCAGGACGACTTAGTCCGGCAGCAAGCAGTTGCCCACATGAGCTAGGGTCTTCATCGCCTTTGGCGTGGGTGTATACGGGGGTTTCCGAAATTAGGGGGGGCCCTTACTATAAGGGAATCCTACTATGTGGGGTCTATATCAGGGGTCCCTTGTTTTCGTAAACCCCTTAAACGGCCCTAAACCCTAAACCTGGCCCTTAGAATACCCAGATACCTTCTCCAGTTGCATCAACCCCCATATCGCGAGCTCGGCAATGCAGGCAGCTCCCAGTGCCTTTCCTTTATCAGCTTTAGGCTTTAGGGTTTAGGGTTTAGTGGAGGTTGTCTTCAACGATGGGCAGCACACAAACAAGCACCCTCAAAACCCACAAAAAGAACGCGCAAAAGAAACCGCAACAACACGATAAGATAAACAAAAGCCTCCACACAGGGCTTCCAGATCGTTGGAGAGCCCCAGGCCAGAAACCCTAAACCCTAAGCCCCAAACCTCCAAACCCCAAACCCTAAACCCTGAACCCGAAGCCCTAAACCCCAAACCCGAAACCCGAAGCCCGAAACAAGCTCCAAAGCCCGAGCCTTTGGAGGCTGTTGTCTTGGATGCAACGCCTCCCCTGGCAGCTGCAGGCCCAACCGCAGAGCTGGCCCCTAAACCCTAAACCCTAAACCCTAAACCCTAAACCCTGAACCCTGAACCCTAAACCCTAACCCTAAACACCCTAAGACGCCAGGGACTGGCGCATAGTGCTGGGAATGGATGCCTTCTGCCTGTTCTGAATAGGGATTCGGGAACTTCGGTGCCCCTGCAAGGGTTGAGGTTTGAGGGTCTGGGGTTTAGGGTTTAGGGTTTAGGGCTTAGGGTTTAGGGCTCAGGGTTTAGGGTTTAGGTTTGGGGTTTGGGGTTTAGGGTTACTAGCCTGGCTCGCCCCTTAATTAGTAGTAATTGCAAGCCAGTCAAAAAACGAGCTAGAAGTACCAAGAAGGGAACCATGTGAAATTCGGCCGCGAGGGCATTGGCAGCGAATCTTTCTTTGGAGCACAGGAAGTATGGGGACAACCCTAAACCCTAAACCCTAAATCCTGGACCCCGTGTCACTTCGCCGGATGTCGCTTTGTTGTGCGACTTGCTCGTGTTCTAGCGGCCGGAGGTTTGCAGGGCCCAGCGCCAGAGACTACTGGGCAGGTTTGGGTTTACGGTTTGGGGTTTGGGGTTTAGGGTTTAGGGCCCAAAGACCCTGAACACCGAAACCCTGAATCCTTCCCTTTTGGCTCAAGATTTTTATCCAAGACGGGAACGAGCTGGAGGGCCACCTTTGCTTTTGCGACCTCGCGCAATGCAGGAATCTGTTGGAGAGTTGTGGGAAGAAAGACCTAGAGATTTGCCCATGCATTCCAACACCATGCGGGGCACCAACGGGTTCAGGGTTTAGGGTTTAGGGTTTAGGGCTAGGGTTTAGGGCTCAGGGTTTGGGGTTTAGGGCTCAGGGTTTAGGGTTTAGGGCTCAGGGTTTAGGGCTTAGGGAAGCCTCCACCGCCAAGCCGCTATGCCTGTGACGAGGAGGGCTCCCCCGAGCCGAACCGCATCGCCATCATCGGTGCTGGATGGTCAGGGCTACAGTGTGCGCAGTGCCTGAAGGATTGGCTTCGAGACAGTTTAGGGGTTTATAGGGTTTTGGGTTTTGGGTTTCATTGAAACCCCCAAGGAACCCCCACACTGAGCCCTATTTAGTTTGAATGATGTTTTCAGGTAGATATGCGGATGATGAGGGATGAGTGTTGGCGATTCTTTGGGCTCCTACTTCTCCGCCCTAACAGGAGAAGGGCATCCAGTTTGACATCTTCGACAAGAACACCGAGATTGGTGGAACATGGGCTCCCGACACCGACCTGCACTAGATCGGGTCTCCCAGATGCATGTACAAAAAGGGGCCTAAAAAAATAGAATAGGGGTAATTACTCCGACCCCAACATTAGGGGAGCTTGCTTCGGTTTGGTGATTCGTGGCTCACCTATGGCTCTTGCGGGTGCTTGCATCCGCGCTGACCGTGCTCGACATAATCTCTGCGACAGTGTTGCAACATGTGCATCTTGAGACCTGCGCACGTAGCTCAGCTTTCAGTCACACCGCGCTCAGGAAATGTCCTACGATCAGCTCACTCTTCACAGCGCACGCTGGATCAACCAGATGACCAAGAACGGTGACTTGATCCCATTCCCTAAAGGGGAGAAGGCCTGCGGTTGTTAATGGCGTGGTGAATTGTGAGTGTGCGGGTTTGCAGAGCATCGGCACGAAAAGCAGTTGACGTCTGTGTATCCTTGTCAACTTAGAGAGTTATGTTCGACAGTGCTTGATGACATTTTGATGAGGATGTTATATCATCGTGCAGGCATGGATGCTCTGGCCATTCGATGCTGTTCATATCATCGTGCGGGCATGGATGCATTGGCCATTCGCCAGCGCTGGTAGCACGGGAATGGACGCGATCACGGACTCGGGTTCCTTCTTAGCACAGTCAATCCTGTCTGTCGCATATCTAACGTACCACACGCAGGGAAAAGTCAGGTTTTCACTCTCGAATCTGATTGTAGGGTTTGGCCATGCAAAAAATTGCGAACAAAGGTGAATAACGAAGCACCAAATTTGGAACGCTGGAACACGAATCCAAGTTGAAAGTTGACAAACGAAACGCTCTGCAATGACGTCGTTACGCGCAGGTTGCGCGCATTATTCAAAACCCAGCACATAAACACATTACTACGACAGCGACTACGACACTACCTACTATATACTATATACTCCTCCTCCTCCTCCTCCTCCTCCTCCTCCTCCTCCTCCTCCTCCTCCTCCTCCTCCTCCTCCTCATGCATCCTCCTGCTAATATTATAATACTACTACACTCAAGACTACTACTACTACTACTAATACTATATGATATACTAACAACTACACGACCACTACAATACCTACAAACTACCACGACCATAACACATACCACGGCTGCTATACTACACTTACGACTAATACTAATATACTACTAATACTCATACTACTACTACTACGCTACTACTTACTGCTATACTACTATACAATGATACTACTACTATACTTACTACCACCCACACTACCACTACCACTACCACACCACTACAAATACCATAAAAAAAAAACCCCCCCCCCCCCCCCCCCCCCGCACTACATTTACCCCTACATAACACTTCCAATACAATACCACCACTACTACTACTACTACTAACTACTACTACTACTACTACTACTACTACTACTACTACTACTACTACTACTACTACTACTACTACTACTACTACTACTACTACTACTACTACTACTACTACTACTACTACTACTACTACTACTACTACTACTACTACTACTAACTACTACTACTACTACTACTACTACTACTACTACTACTACTACTACTACTACTACTACTACTACTACTACTACTACTACTACTACTACTACTACTACTACTACTACTACTACTACTACTACTACTACTACTACTACTACTACTACTACTACTACTACTACTACGACTACGACTACGACTACGACTACGACTACGACTACGACGACGACTACGATGACCATTGCTGTTACTATGTTATGTCTAAAGCGGTTGCTTCCATCACTGTTGCTATTATGGTCACTTCTGCTGCTTCTACGACTATTCTAGTGCGGCGGCGGCGGCTGCTGCTGCTGCTACTAGTAGTAGTGATGCTACCCTAACCCTAAACCCTAAACCCTAAACCCTAAACCCTAAACCCTAAACCCTAAACACTATCGGAACGTGTGTTCGAAACCAGGGCTACATGGACCAGAAGGCTGACGCCGCAGAAGTGTTGCAGTACTTGAAAGACTTTGTCAACCAGTGTGGCCTCCAGCCGAACATTCACAGCGAGACACTTGTGAAGGAGGCGAAGTGAACTTCAGGTTGCTTCAGGGTTTAGGGTTTAGGGTCTAGGGTTTAGGGTTTAGGGTTTAGGGTTTAGGAAGGTCCCTGACTGTGACGACGGGCGCAGGTGCACTATGACTCCAAGTCGCGCCTGGCGCACCTGGTGGTGGCGAAGGATGTTCTCCCCAGTCCCTAAATCACATCCCGACCCAGTTCTTCAGATCCTAAAGCGTATCCTTGCTATGAGCCCTAAACCCTAAACCCTAAACCCTCAACCCTCAACCCTTAAAGCAGATGCACCAGAACCCACACAGCGCAGGAGTCGGTGGAAAAACGGGAAGGCCCTTACAACCTCGTGATCTTCGCATCCTTGAGCGGTTCTGCCAAGATGCCGGACATAGCCACTTGGGGTATTTCATTCCCAATGGCCTTGGGGTTTAGGGTTTAGGGTTTAGGGTTTGGGGTTTAGGGTTTAGGGTTTAGGGTTTGGGGTTTAGGGTTTGGGGTGTAGGGTTCCCCTGAACGGGTTTAGGGTTCAAGGTTCAGGGTTTTATCGTTCCGAAGGGCTTGAAGTTCAAGATCTCAAGCCACATGGGGGTTTAAGAACATGGGGGACCTCCAATATAGACCCCGTATTTGAGCTGTTTGCGTTTCCATCCCGCAAGGTCCCATCAGTCTCCCAAAAGGGTTCCCCTTCGGCTCAAAACAGCTCAGGAACCTTTTATAGTGAGGCCCTAAACCCTAAACCCTGAACCCTAAACCCTAAACCCTTGGGCCCAAAGAAAACTTGAAATAAGAGTCCTTGGAGCGCCAGGGTTCGGGTTTTGCCACCCTAAACCCTAAGCGGCCTGGTGCCGCCCGAAACTTAGCCTGGCTGCTTCGGAGAAACCCGATAAGCCCTAAACCCTGAACCCTAAACCCTAAACCCTAAACCCTAAACCCTGTTTTTTCGGCATCTCTGTCACCAGCCAAGCCAAACCGTGGCTTCACCGGGAAGTTGCTGCACAGCTGTGAGCTCAAGGCCAAGACCATGTCAGTGGCTTTGATTGTATTGGAGCAATATGAAGAAACACTCGTACTAGTACTAGTAGTTAGCTGTAGTAGAAAAGGTAGCACAGCAAATCGACATAGGAATAAGGGTAGGAACAGGAATATGAGGGCATGACAATATTTGTTTTAACGGAAGCTGGCGTGCGGTGATTGAGGTTGGGTTTCTAGGAGGGCGGGGGGGAGGAGCATGTGAGTCAAGGGCTCATTGAGTTGGTCTCTTGCGAAAGTGCTTCGATAGATCAGGATTGGGATGTTCTCCCTTAGACTAACAGTCCTGAAGAATTAGAGAATATGGCACCCCCCCTATTATAAAGGACTGTCAGTAGAAAGGGGAACGTCCCAAGATCAGGAGATTATCGATGCCAAGTCGTCCGTCTTGGTCATCGGCGCTGGCAAGTCTGGATGCGACATGATCCAGGCATTCCAAAAGGCAGCCTACGAGAACGTGGCTGGGCTGACGTTGAGGGCATTTTGTGCTGCTTGCTACGGGTTGCCTGCTTAAAGTTTCGACGCGCCTCACCATGCAGCAGCTGCAACGGCCCATCTTGCCAGGTAATGTGGCTGTATCGGCAGCCATATTGGTTCTTCAGCTTCGAAACGTTTTTCCACGACCGGTCCTTGCTGAGCATGCTCAGAGCATTCCTTGCCCTGGTGTTCGTCACTTTGTCGCTGGCGTCGCCCAGCCTCTGCATGTTTGCGCTATGGGTGATCGGGTATGCGATTATGCCCGGATGTTCTGGGTGGCCGAAGCATTTCAATGCTGTCAGGTTTCACTTTGGAATCTGGGCCGTTTTTTGTGAAAATCAGTTTACATGTTTATGAATACCTAAACTAAAACACACTAAGGAACAAGAATGCCCATTTTTACACAGTACCCCCCAACAGTGGTGTAGGAATGTTGTGTGAACGTCAGCTTTCCTTCATCAAGAAAGTGAAGCCCGTCACCGGCGACCCCGACCACTTCCAGAAGGGAGGAGTCGTCCTGAAGTCCGGCGAGGCCATTGACTGTGATGTTCCTGGGTCCTGATTACCTTTGTCATAGTGAAGTAACATTTTACATGTTTAAGGGTACTTAAACTCAATAAGGAATAACATTTGAAAATTTTATTACTATCCCAACTATGAACCAGTTACTGGGTGGCCCAGTGGTGCCCTTTTGCCCTTTCTTTTTGGGTTCGAGGTTCCCTCAAAAAGGTAGCCTGCCCCAAAAAAAAGGGGGTGCCCTTATTTTGAGATGGTTACTGGGCTACCAAGATTAAGAATTGCTGGCTTCTAGTCGCGAAAAGTAGCGGCCTATCTTCTGCTTACAAGTTTACGACGAGCGCTGTAGGTGATCATCTGTGCGACGGGGTACAACACGGGCCTTGACACCATCCAGTGCATCAAGGATGGCAAGCCTATCAGTTTCTCGTGCGCGTTTGGAGAAGAACCCTACTCCCTAGACCCTCTAAGCCCCCGAAGTTTCTTGCAATGTGAGCTCAAAAAAGGTGTGACTGGATGCCCGCTGTACGAGCATGCCATCGTTCCGCGCTTCCCGTGCCTAATCAGTGCGGCCACAGCCTTCTACCATTTTGGCCCTATTCGTGGGGTCTCACTTGCAGAGCAACTTCATCCCATTCATGCGGATGGTGAGGTTTTTTTTGGTTTAAGCTGGTTTCCTTCAGGTTTGGGCAGTCAGAGGCATCGAGTTGAAATCTTCAGCCCGAACCCCTGAATGCCACTCTCGTCATCAACCCTCCAGGCGTCGCCCGATCAGTGTGGAGTGGGGGGGGACGGGGGCGGGACCTCCCCTGCTCCCCGCGACCTCGATGGCGCATAGATGGGCACCCACGATGGGCCCGGCGTAGTTCTTCGCAGTTCTCGGGACCAATAAAGTAAAGTTTGAATCCGCGAGCCTTTCGTTCCGCTCCCCGCCCCCCTTCAACCCCTCCCTTTCCTTCTCCCCTGGGGCTGACAATTCAAGAGCCGTTGTCTCACCGCAGCTGTAGCTACAGAATCTTGGCATCCCTTCATGAGTTGCCGGCATTGCGGGGTTCGACAGTTCCAGATCGACCTATCAACGCTACCAAACATACCTGCTCTCATTTTCATCCATGTTTGCAAAGGCCGTGATTTTCCCCCGCCCCCCTCCCCCCGCACGCAGCTTCAACCCCTTGTTCTCAGGACAAACAAACACGTATATGTACCTCACTGGTCCCATCAGAACCTAGCAGAACCCTACCAAAAGCCAGCCAACCCCCCGGCCCCCACTGCGTTTGTTTAGGGCGTGGCAGGGTTGAAACTGTCTTCGCGTGCCCTAAACCCTAAACCCTAAACCCTAAACCCTAAACCCTAAACCGGAGAGCACAATTAACTTTGTGTTGGTGGCAGGAGCTTGTAGCAATGTCTTCAGCCATTTGCTCCGGGGCGAGACAGCCTAAACCCACAACCCAGAACCTTGAGAACTGCGCGATCCGAAAAGCGCCCAAAGCAAGTAGTTTGACTGGAGTTGTATTTATGATCCACGTGACGCCATGGACCTCGGATGCTCAACCCTAAACCCTAAACCCTAAACCCTAAACCCTAAACCATCCCCCCACTCATCCCTGCATCCAAGGTATGTGGCCCATGTTCTGAAGAACCCGATCAGCGAAGAGACAATGGAAGCAGTGGCAAACAAAAACCTCTGTGTCTTGGTGTGTCGCTACATCACAGGAATGTTTCGAGGGGTATGGACTTCATGAGCAGGAGTAGAGAGTGTCAGGATGAGCAGGATTAGGGAGTGTCAGGATGTGTTGCCTTTGTTTTTTATGTGTTCGAGGCTGGCATGTAATGAGCATTCGCTTGCAATGTTCAAGCAGAAGACCCAAGGCAAGCAGACATCCACCACCTTCCTTGGGTATTCCAGCTCGATTACCTTTACCTCAGAGTGGTTCCTCGAAGGAGCTTGGCACCACCTTGTCTTGTGTCAGCTTGCGTCTGTGTGGGTTTTGCCAGACTTTTCTCCGAAACCGGAACGGCATGTATCGGCCCTGTCCCACAAGCATCGTAGTAGCCCACAAGTGGAATCTTGAACAGCACAGGGGTGGGTGTGAACCTAAATTTGATTACCCTTAATCCCCTCTACAGTCCTTCTAACGCCATAAAAGTTGAATTTTTATAGGCCCCCAAATCTACCCCAGAGCAGCAGAAGGCTTCTTCTTTATGTTGACATGTGGCGGACCGGTCTTCTTTTCATTGGCTCGTTTTTGGAGCTCGGCATCACGACGTTCATGACCTCACAGTATCGACCGCTTCGGCTCAACGTCAGCGGCTGATTCTGCAGAGACAGTCCTAGCCAGTATGTCTTTACAGATCTCGGTGGCCACAGGTGGCCACGGGCTAGTGCTGGATCAGTTTGGTTCCCGCCACTGGCAAAGAGATGGGCTTGCGAGTCCTGTTAGAGCTCGCAAGTGCTCTGTACTTGGCAGATGTAGAACTTCTGCCGGGGTTTTAGTGCCAAGGTTGCCTTGCCCAGTGATTGGCTGGGCGTCAGCCAAACCATCGCTTTACTCACATGCATGCAACAAGGCTGGAAGCAGCTGATGCAGCATGTGCCACAGGAGTCTGCAGCGGCCCAAACAGGAATTGCACGTGCTTGTCTTGTGGTGGTAGATATAACATGATAGCGCCTTTGCTGCACCCATAGCATCGCCTCCATGAAGATCAGCTTTGATTCCGGAGATAGGCCTAGGTGGAGTCGTGCGAACGCACATATATATAGAGAGAGAGAGAGAGAGCGAGAGCGAAAGAGATTTGGGCGCCTCCCCAACTGCCGCAACCATTCTGAGCATGCCACATCCTCCAGGGTGAAGCTACAGGTTGCTGATGTGTGCGTTCGTGGGTGGGTGTCCAGGCTGTGCTTGTGACGAATGGGGGAGCAACTCAAGCTTAGCTACGGTTGAGGGGGTTTCGGGGTTTAGGGTTTAGGGTTTAGGGGGGTTTAGGGTTTAGGGTTTAGGGCTTCGGGTTTAGGGTTTAGGGTCTGTAGGGGGTAGGGTTTCGGGTTTAGGGGTTTAGGGCTTAGGGCTCCCGATGCTTGCGAGGCGCAGCTCTCCCTACACACCCCCTTTCCTTGAGCTCATCGAGGCGAAATCCATCTCTAAGGGGCATAAAAAGGGACCTTTGGGGGTCATTTAGGGGCTACTTAGGTCTATAGGGACTAAGAAGGTATGTATAGGGGAAAAACAGGGGGCTAGGTAAAGGGTTTAGTCTGGGGGAGCACGGAGGTTCGGGTTTTGTCTTCCAGCTGCTTCAGGGGGCTTTGGGACGGTTTAGGGTTTAGGGTTTTGTCTTCCTGCTGCTTCAGGCGAGTTTGGGGATTAGGGTTTTGGGATTGCCCGGTTGCCGGGAAGTCTTGCCTTAAGGGTTTGGGCTTTCAGTGTTGGACATGTCCCAGATCAGAAACCCACACCCCCAAAGCCCAAACACTGACCACCAAGCCCAGCACCTTTTGTTCCAGCGGCGCACCTTTACCCCTTAAACCCGAAACCCTGAACGGCCCTGAACCCTTAAACCTAAACCCTTAACCCTAAACCCTACAGGTCCCACACGCCGCTACCGACGCCCTGCTCCACTCCGAACCAGGTGCGGCCACATCGTAAACCCTCAACCTTAAACCCGAAGCCCTAAATCCTCAACCCTCCCTAACCTTACGCAAACCCGAAAAGCCCTAAACACTCAACCCTAACCCCTATAAACCCTAAACCCTAAACCCTGAACCCTCCCTAAACCCGAAACCCTCAAAAGTTCAGACTTTAGGGGCTCAGGGGTTTCCCAACCCGCCATCTTGAACCCTGACCCCAAAGCCTCCAAGGCCCACAACTCTACACCCACAAAACCCCGAAGTCCCCCCACCCACGCGCAAGCCCTCAACCAAGCCTTTAGGGTTTAGGGTTTAGGGTTTAGGGTTTAGGGTTTAGGGTTTAGGGTTTAGGGTATGGGGTTTAGGGTTTAGGGTTTAGGGTTTAGGGTTTAGGGTTTAGGGTTTAGGGTTTAGGGTTTAGGGTTTAGGGTTTAGGTTTAGGGCTTGGATACATCCTAAAGCCCCCCTACACCCCGAAACCCTCTTGGCAGCTCGCAGCCACAAGGTTTTGGGTTTAGGGTTTAGGGTTGAGGGCTTCGGGTTTAGGGCTTCGGGAACCCCAAAAACTCCTAAAGCCCTGAAGCCAAACCCCCTAAACCCTAAACCCTAAACCCTAAACCCTAAACCCTAAACCCCCGACAGCCTGGGTGCGGAGGAGCCTGCAGCCAAAACCAGCTCAGGAGGCGCCAACGCGGAGGGTTTTTTCTGGTTCAGGTAGGGTTAGGGTTTAGGGTTTCGGTTTAGGCTTTAGGCTGTAGGCTTAGGCTTCAGGCTTTAGGCTTAAGTTAATGAAGGGTTTAGGGTAAGTCTAAGGGTTTAGGATTAGAGGTTGGGGGTTTTAGGGGTTTAGAGTTCCGGGGTTAAAGGGGTTAGGGGTTTTAGGGGGTTGGGAGGGGGACGGGGAACAAGGGTGGAGGGGTCGGGGAGGGTGAGAAAGGCGGGGCCCAGGGTTTGAGGGTGAAGGATGTTTTTTTTTTTTTTTTGGGGGGGGGGGGGGGGGGGGGCGGGGGGGGGGGGGGGGGCGGGGGGGGGGGGGGGGCGCGGGGGGGGGGGGGGGGGGGCGGGGGGGGGGGGGGGGGGGGGGCGGGGGGGAGGGGGTGGGGGGTGGGGGGGGGGGGGCGGGGGGGGCGGGGGGGGGGGCGGGGGGGGGGGCGGGGGGGGGGGGGCGGGGGGGGGGGGGCGGGGGGGCGGGGGGGGGGGGGCGGGGCGGGGGCGGGGGGGGGGCGCGGGGGGGGCGGGCGGGGGGAGGGGCGGGGGGAGGGGGGTTGGGGCTTACAGTTAATTTTGGGGCGCAGGGCTTACAGTTAATTTTCGGGGGTAGGGGTTAAGGGTTCAGGGTTTAGGGTTCAGAGTTGATTGCGCTTGGGGGTTTGTTTGCATAGGATTTGGGGTTCTTGGTCTTCAGGCTTTAGGGGGAGACGTGAAGTCCAAGGGAAGGCGGATCCCCAAAACCCAGCAACATTGAGCCCCCTGCAACCCTAGCACCCAAGATCCTGAACCCTGAAGCCATAACCCCAAAGCCCCAAACCCCCAAAGCCCCAAAACCCCCAAAGCCCCAAAGCCCTAAAACCTTGTGAAAAACCTACACCCTGACCCCCCCCCCCTTCCAGCCCTAAGATCCTAAGCCCGTGAGTGAGGTGGCGGCACCGGCGCCTCTGCTGAGAGGCGCCCTACTCACCAGACAGGTTTAGAGTTTGAGGATTTAGGGGTTAGGGTTATAAGGTGTGTGTGTGTGTGAGCGGGTAACGATAACAATGTTTTGGGTCAAAAGTAGTATTATTTGAAATCTACTTTGATTTTATGGAGCCTTTAGGGTTTAGGTTGCTTCCGGTGTCGTAGGCGCTTGTCTTCATCGAGGGGCCCACTGGACCCCCTAGACACCAAACCCTGCACAGCCCGGGAACGGGGGAGACTAAACAGGGCGAAGCATTGAACCCTAAACTCCTAAACCCAGAAGCCCTGAACCCGAAGCCCGAAACCCTAACAACCCTAAACTCATAAACTCCTAAACTAACCCTCAACCCAAAAGTCCGAGTTCCAAAGTCTAAACCCCACACCCTACACCCTAAACCCTAAGCCCTAAACCCTAAACCCTAAACCCCAAACCCCAA